TATATATATATATATATATATATATAAATATACATATATGTACATATACATATACATATACATATATATATGTATATATATATAATCAAATGTTGTGGTGAGGCTATTAATCTGTATAGAAGAGAGTCCAAACTTGAGTCTATGATCTTAGGGAAGAAACGAAAATCTTCGGTAATGAATCAAGTAGTTAGCCGTGCGGGGCAAACAAATACCATGTCATGTCATACAAAACAAAAGTCAAAAACTTGGCCGTTTAAATAACCCCTTAGGTTGTGTTTGTTCTAATGGAAAGGATGCAGATGATATTGTTTGTAAGGATCAAAACTGGAGTCCTGCAGAGGATTTTGAATCCCTCCTCTCATCCGTCGCACCAAACAACCATAAAGTCTTTGAATTCTATCCTCTAATCCTCTTACAACTATCTTTCCTTCCTTCCACTTTTCTCCGACAACACTTTCCGCCTTATTAGTCAATCTAGTGACGCTAAAATACACAAGATCAGAAGATATTCTAACTTATGAACTACTTTCATTGGGTTTCTCTGAAGTGCCACTTTGGCTTGACCCTTCCCTAAATCTGCTTTCATTGTCTTTACCTACTAACTAGACCTTACTCAGTTAAATAGTGGAGTTTTTGTTTTCAAAGAATTACCAAGTTCCTTATCTTTACTGCAGGAAACTGAAGCACAAAAGGATACATTTGAATCTGTCATGATCGACGAGTACTTAGTGAGATGTTTTAATTTAATTTCACAAACTATATATCTTTGTTAATATGATTATGGTATTTAAAGTGCTGTAGTTTCACTTTATGTCAATAAAGTTATAGTGTACCATTTCACACTTTATATTTTATCTCCTGTTTAAATTTCTTTGGAGAAAAAAGATGTGGATATGCATAGGGGTGCTGTTATACTGTTATTCCAGCACTGGGAGAAAAAAGTGAAAATAGATCATGCAAAAGTCTGAAGAGTTGTTTAAAACACCTAGGTCTGTCTGTGGTATGCGAACCGGATTAATTATAAAAATTTCATTTTTAATTTAAACCTTTTTCACAAATAGTCTTTTTACTTCTGGATATAAACCAATAAATGTATGTCTGAAATATGTATCTTAGTTCAACATACCCTGAATCTCCCAAATTTTAAGTCTTCATTTCCTAGGGATGGGCTCTCACATCATGAATCACCCATATGTTGAGTTTTTCTTAAATGTTTTATCCAAACTCGGATATGTCTGGCTATGGAAGAGGGATTGGTTCCCTTGGATGTTTATAGTTTTTCTTATTTAATCAACACAATAATAATTGGGATGTTTTCGGCCCGTTTGTTTTATATACTCAAATTTAAATTGTTGATTTTGTTAGTGTTTTTCTCTCACAAAAAAATTGAATTTTAAACGTCAGAATCAAGAATTATGGTTTGAGTATGTTTTTCAAACGGGCCCTTAAAATTTTTCTTATTTAAGATAATTGCGATGAGCTAAAAATATTAAATTCGTGTTATTAAGGTGAAAAAATTGTTTTGAATATGGGAAATTTTCAAGAAGACAATTAAAAATATAACATTATTATTTTTCAGTCTATTTATTTGGAGGGTTTAGATGGGTTTGAAGTTTGAACTAACTTTCGGGTTTAAATCCATGTTTAGTTGCATAATATTTTGAACATGAATTTGGGTTTAGGGTTTATTTGAACTCAAAATTGAAAGTTGAACTCAACTTTACCTTAAAGCTTTTAAGAATCTAACCCATTTTATTATTCAAAACTCAACTAAAAGGTTCTCACTAACTATTTCCGCTCACATTTATTAAAAATTTATAATTCTAATAACGTAATTAAATACTGGTTTAAATTTATTTCCTATTTAAATTTTACACTACTAAATCTCAATTTAAAAACTCATATATAAATTTAAACCCATATAATTTGAACTCTGCTAAGCAAGACATGATTACGTTCTACTGACATATGCAGACTCATTGTTGTGCACGTCAACTCTTATGGCAACTTTGTCTACTGCTTTACGTAACAGTGAGTTGTATTAGGTTTACTAATACGTATAATTTCTGATCATTAATAAATGTGAGTCACGTGATAACCTTTTAAACACTTAATAATAAAATAAAAAAAATGACAATTCATATGGTTTGTGAGTTAGTACAACAGTGATCTAACTAATAAAAATATTAAGAGCTCGTTTGGTTGGAATATTCGTTATCGTATTTAAATTATGATTCATGATTCGTTACAGTATTTTTTTTCACAAAAAATAAACATAAATAAAAAATAATTCTAATCTCATAATTTTAATTCATGAATTAAACGGGTTCTAAGTTTACCAACATGCATAATAATACGTCAATGATGGAGTTTGCCATCATTAATATTTATCCACAAGGAAAGAATTTTACTGAAACACGAAGCGACAAAAGCCTTACAACAACAATATTGACAATCATTTCATCCACCCCACCTCAAGTGGGTAATATAATATACAAATTTACACGTTATTCTCTTAAAAAAAAAAATAATTACACATGTTATTCCGATTCTAGTTATGCCTTTTCCACCTATTTTAGAGCATGCATAACTTTCTTATTTGTGTGTATGTGTGTGCGTGTGTGTGTGTATATATATATATACACATGTATTTTATTGATGCCTTTAGCTTTTCCCACACAAAAATCATGCTTCTAAGTTGAGACTTTAATCATCTATAAGTGCAGGCCGTTTACATCGTTGTTTTTAATTTTTAATTTAAGTTGAGATGTGATTTTATGTGAGAGTTTTTTACTGTGTGATTATTTCTGAGAGCTTTTTACTGTAGTAAAACTCAAATTTTAAATTCGAATCGATGAAATGAACGAGAGCGATTTTTAAGTGAACAAAAAAGGCAATTTTCTTCCGATATTTGTGAACAAGAAAAGGCGATTTTTAGCCTATTCCTCTCCGACTTCGCTGCTCAAACCAACATTAAAAAAAAAAAAAAAAAAAAAACACATTTTCGTGGTGAATTTTTCCCACAAAGCAGCTCTTTTCAATGGATCAAAGAGAGAAGTTTTCATAGCCGATGGCTACAAGATGAACAACAAAGTGAAGGAAAGTGCAAGAATGAAAGCGGTAAAGCGGTCAACTGTAGGAGAAGATCATGGCAACATTAATGATTTAGTTGAAGTTTTCATCAAGAATTTCCGCAACCAACTTAAGATTCGGTGTGAAAAATTACGGCCTCGTTCACTTTACGGATTCGAGTTTTCAATTCGAGTTGGGATGTGAGATTTTCTGAGAGTTTTAACTGTAACAGAAAAAATTAGATGTGACATTTTTTAAAAATTTTTAACTGTAAAAACTTAAAACTGAAAACTCAAATCGGTAAAATTAATGAATTACGCAATATCGTCTTCTTAGAATGATTGCGAGTTAACGATGTTCTTAATAACCATAAAACGACAAATGTGATCCAATTTACTTATGTTACACTCTCTCCTAATTGAAGTCCGCTCAATTGAACATAAAAATTGACGTGATGAACAACTCTTTTAATATGAATCAAAAGTAAATTTAACTGTAACTCATTTGAATAATACTTTAAGTTCTCGTATTTGATTATCCATACTTTATTAGACTTGTGTTCAATTTTCTTGTACTCTAATCATCTTTTTTTTTTTTTCTTGAGACAAATAACTATTTTGGTTGGTATACATTTTGGTTGAATATAATCATGAAAGTAAGGTTTCGTTCACTTCGCAGATTTAAATTTTCAATTCGAGTTGAGATGTGACATTTTTTAGAACTTTTAACTATAACAGAAAAAATTAAATATGACATTTTTTGAGAAAACGATAAAAATTTAAAATTAAAAACTCAAATTAATGAAATAAATGATGCCTAAATTTAATAGGAACGGAGCTATATTGAGCTCAGAGGGGGCAGCTGTCCCCTCAACCCAATGGCTCCTATTTTTGCTCCCACAAAATATTTCATTTACCATTTTTTTTAAAATTTCAATTGTACCCCACGTTTTGTCTTTCAATTGTACTTAAATTTTGAACTTAAATTACGAATAAGCTAAAAACAACTATACTACTACGTAAACTTATTTTTATTGGGATTTTAAGTTTTAAAAATAAAATAGATAAAACGAATAAGAAAAGAGAGACAACATTATATATATATATATGGAATTTCTATAATTGTGTTGTAATTTTAACCTGTGGTGTGAGAATTCAAACTCTTACACATTGAAGTATAGCCAAGTATGAGTTTGTCACTGGGCTGTGCTTGGAACTACTTATATAGACTGTTTCTTTTGAATGTAAGATTTGCGGTAACTAAATAAAACTTGATATTATACAACAATGTCCTAATACAACCTAATATCGCATGTTTGTTACACATGTTTCTCATATCATAGTGTGACATTTAAAAGTTTAGAGGGTAAAATGAGGCGCTAAGTATTTTTTTGAGGGCTCAAAATGAAATTAATTTTTAATTTAATTTTATCAAATTACCTTTATTAAAAGTGTCACGTGCACCTCACATGCTCATTCCGTTAATTATTTAATGGTTTTGTGATAGAGGAACTGAAAGTGCAATATTTGTGAAGATCAGGAGCTATTAACATGATACTTGAAAGTTTAGAGGGCAAAGTGAGATAACAAATGTTTCAAATATTGATTGAGAATCAAAATTGAAATCAATCCAATAATAAAATAATAAAAAAAAGAATTTTGCTTGAGAAACAAGAAAGTCAGAGGTGAGATGGAATTCAAGGCCTTCTGGTTTCCCAAGGAAAGACGGCCACAAAATCCTAATTAAGATGCAGATGTTTGGTTCATAAATTAGAATCATGTAATTATAACTATTTTTAATTTACGTGTATTTTTTATGAGATAAAATACTGTAGTGAATTATGAATTATGATTCAAATCATGGTTTGAATTCTCAAACCAAACATCCTAGTGTAATAGCACGAGAACATTGAGAAACACAAGGGAAACTCTAATGCCTAACCCACTATGATTAAAATCTTAAAATTATTGGTAAACAAGCAATGATGCAATGACACATCAGAATCCATGTGATTAACCTGAAAATAATGTTTTGAGACATCAGTCAATTGTGGCTCCATTTGAACCCAATGATAAAATAACATCCACAACGCGTATCCTCCAACTTATTTAGTATAAATAATGAGCATCAGTCTTTCATAAATATTGTAAAATATTACAACTTTTGTGGTGCATCTTTCTCAATATTAGATCCTTTAAAATTATGTTTATGTATAAATATTAATCTCTAGTGGGATACTTTTTATACTCTGCCAGAAGAATAACCTAACAATCTAATTTGTGGATTTGGTTAAGTATAGCATTATTAGGGCATAACTTAAGATATTTAGAGACATTGAATCATCAGGGCATATAATTATTTATGATTAATACTAACTGATCATAAAAGTTAACGAATTTGCATAATAATAATAATAATAATTTAATGATTGAATTGCCATCACCAATGTTTAACCACGAGGAAGAATCAGAATATATATCTGAAACACAAAGCAACAAAAGCCTTGCAAGAAACCAAAAAAGAAAAAAAGAAAAAAAATAACAATAACAATCATTCCCGCCACAATTAAGACCGAGTAGGCAATAAAAATTATAAAACTTAGCGTTTCTCTTTTGTCCAAGCATAACTTTGGCATTGTTTTCAACTTTCTTTGCTGTTTCCTTGCGTTTTCCATGCTTCTAATAACTATAACCTGATCATAATTTATCTATAAATACTAGGTGTTTTGCAAACATCAAAAAGCAACTCCAAAGTCTCTCTCTCCTCTCCGAATTCCCTTCTCAATCCGACACCAACAAGGCTATCTCAGCCGATCGAGAAGTTTCCCGACCAAGCAGCGGCCATGGATCAAAGTAGAGAAGTTTTCAATTCTGGTGGCTACAGGATGAACAACAAAGTGAAGGAAACTGCAAGAAAGGAAGCGGTCAGCAAGAGATCAACCGAGTTGGTAGATGATGACATTAATGACCAAGCTGAAGCTTTCATCAAGAATTTCCGCAACCAGCTCAAGATTCAGCGCGAAGAGTCGCTAAAACGCTTCCACGAGATGATAGCTCGAGGTGTTTAGCCAGAAAGATGGCTCATGTGTGTCTATTGGGTTCTTCTTTTAAAGTTAATAACCATAATTCTTTCCTCTTTGAGGAGTTCTGTAATTCAACATGCTTACTTTGATTCAGAAAGTAATTTGACCATATTCTAAGTCTATTTCTATTCAAGTATGAGCCCAAAAATTCTGTGGACAAAAGATTGACTGCATATTTACTGATTTAAAAAGCATTAAAGTAGAAATATTGTTGATTCTAACAAGACAGATTTAAGGTGACAAAACATGCAACATAAATCAGATTCATAGACAGAAATGAAATCTAAGTATATATTGAATGATCACTGATGATCATGTATATTCACAAAGCATCTCTAATCTAAGGATTACAGACTAACAACACCAAATCATCCGACAATGAACGGCAGACCAACCGCCCTAATCCATTCCCCGGTAACAAGATTTACAAGTATCCACTCGTTTTTCTTTTTTCATAAATGTAAAGAAATGACCTCATGGTTTCGTTGCTGAAACGCAGATCCACCTCCTGTTCTGTTGCCAAAACCAATGACAAAATCATCCTCGCTCGTAAATGAATGAAAGCATCAACAGTTACAACAGGAAATCTCTTACGAGAAATGAGATCGGAGATGTCTAAGAGTTACATGCCTTGCCCTGATCATCTGAACACCGCCGAAACAGATGCTATCGGTCATTCTCATTTTCAGTCTTGCCTTTTGCAAGCATATAAGCAAGAGCAAATCCCACCCCGGCCCTCATGCTTGCAGCACTTGACAGTGCAGAATGTGACTCTTCAAACCACTTCGGCCCGCTATACTCAACCACAAATTAGTGACCAGAGTCCTAAAATGGCCCCTCCCGGCAATATTTTCCCACATCTGAGGGTTACTTTCGACAGGAATATCCGGGCTAGAAACATCAACTAAACTAATACTCATGTTATTACGGATGATGCAGAGCTTCCCATTGAGGGGAACTAGTGCAGCAGCCTCTAATGCCCGCGAGCTGCCTAGATGGAGTTTGCTATCTATAAATTTGTTCCACGAGTCTGTGGATCTATCATAAACCCTAAGCTTGCACCCATCCCGGCAGTCCAAGGCATATAGTTGGCCGTTCATAGAGATACACGGGTTGCGCCAACCAGCAACCATCCCATCACTAATTGGGGTCCAGGTGTTGGTTTCAGGAGAGTAAGATTCACTCATTACCTCGCGATGAGAACCGAGACCCTTGAGAAACCACATTCCATTATGGACAACCCCGATGAAGGGTACCATAGCTGTGCTCATATCAGAAATAAAGCTCCACCGGTTTCTGTTGGGGTCATAAACTTCGGCAGAACGAAGTGTCCGTTGGATTCCTTCACACTCCCCACCAGCCACATATAGACAGTTGTTGATGACACAAGAACCAAAGAAATGGCGTTTCCGAAGCATGTCCGGTGCCCTATGCCATTTGTTTGTGCGAGCGCTATAGAAAATAACCCGTCTCATGGATCCCCTCAGTGGATCTTTTCCTCCAAATAAGTATAAGTGGCAACCACTAAGGACAGCACAGCCAAAACCTAGTGCTTCGGAATACTCTGCAGGGACCGGCGGAAGCGGCTGCCAAATATGATAAGTCGGATCATATGCATGCCACGAGATCCTCCCATCACGGTCTCGCTTGATGACATAAACCCACTCTTCAGCCATTCCAAGACTTTTCCTAAGAGAATAAAAGAAATTTCCAGCCAGGAGACGGTACCATCTCTTGCAAACAAGACGGAGTTTTCTATGTTCAACACGAGGAACTCTAATAAGGCAGGCAATTGCCAGGTCGTCCGGTAGGCCCGGCAGGAGGGGTGGCTGGATGCGGGTCCTTTCTCGACGCGAGTTTTTGCCCTTGTGTGCGTTGGGATTGATGTCAGGCTGGATGCAAAGTTTTGATCCAGGGACAAACTTTCTTGCCCCTGCAACTGTCTTTAACCCAGCATCTACTTTGCAGTAACATGACACAGAATCAACCTACAAAACTTTCCAGGTTAGAAACTGCAAGGAACATCAAGATTCACTGACCAAATATTATTATTTTTTTCTCCTTGAAAAAAAAATCTACAAACAAATTTGAGAACAAGTTAAGCAATGAGAGGGGTCTTTGGCTAAGAGCCTCTACCGGATAGAAAGAAGTGATAATAAGAAGCCAATGCCAATGTAAATGGAAAAAGTTTGGATAAAGAACTAAAACTCATCAAACATCATAGCCTTCCTAATCTTCTATTACCAAATAGAGAGAGATAGTGGCTTTTCTTTCATTCGATCCGTTGATATGCTATCTAGTAAAAATAAAAGGCGATAAAAAAGAACCATTCAGTCTCGATTCTCTCAAAACTAAGTCCATCACCTTCTGAAGGCCGGGCATAGTAAGGTAAAATACAACAGAAAGAAACTAGACACGTAGAAGGGAAAACGTTGAACTTGCTCAAATCATTATTACCATACAAAAGCATCAGCCTCTTTTCCGCTTACTTCATCACCCATGAAATACTCTGGAATTTTTTGGTTATTTCCAACTTCCAACCAAAGTTTTAACAAACAAAAAAGAAAATTAGTAAAATTTTTGCTAAAAGATAAGCGAAAAATTGGTTTCAATTGCACATATTGTTTTGGATACACATTTTGACATCCAACCTTTATCACAAGAATGTGAATTTCAGCGCATCATCACAAAGCACTGCATCTGTAAGACTCGTGATTATACATATTGATATATAGATAAACTAGAAACAAAGGTGATGAGGAACGAGATATATATGTAATTAGGAATTAAGGATATATACTTATCTATTAGGATTATTTAGGTTTATTTTAAGTTTTATCAAATTGTTATGTTTATGTTGAGCCTATCTTATTATTACTGTCTATTCGTCTACAAATAGACCTAGTGGTTGTATTTTAAATTCCCAACCTTCATTTTGAATATTGAGAACTCAAATTTCCTCTCAATTGTTCTTCTTTTCTGTCTTAGCATCTTTCTTTCTCTCTTCTCCATATGTGATATGCCAGGCATCAAAAGGTGATATTAGGAAAGAATAAGAACATCATGAATAGCACCCGAGTTTTTCACTACAAGTTGACTCCTAATTAGCTTTTATTGTAAAGGAAAAAAAAGGTCATTATTGCCATCATGTCCTCATCCTCTTCATTACTTTAGAAACGCGAGGTCCTACTGATAAAAAGAAAGAAGCTGACCCAATTCTACTCCAAGAATGTTCCCAATTTTCACTCCTAGTCCCACGCTCGCCATTACAAGCCCAATGACGCACAACCCATTGGCTCTACAAGATCCTAAGTGGTAGGGTTACAAAGTATCGAACTCTGTACATAGAAGAATGAAAGATATCCTAACCGCCGCTGTACTCTATCAGCAGAGGCATTTCATAGTGTTGACCACATTACTACGCAACACAAATTCATTGTAACAAACCAAAATCACCCGTCCTATCTTTTCAAATTCATACTCTCAGCAGACCCACTAACAGGAACTGTGTTAGAAAAATGACTATGGCTGCTCCACGATCAAATCCCAACTCTAAGAACCAATATGACAAAATGCAGTTGTTCATGCATAAAAATGACACCAAATTGAGTGTGTTCCGGAAAGAAAAATCCTATGCGAATTCCAATTATCCAAAAAAAAAAAGGGAAAAAAAAAAGCTATTTTGAACACGAACTTAGCAATAATCTGGGATTTCCATAAAGTAATGTGTTAAAGAAAAAAAAAGTCTTCAACATACATACTAAGAGTCCGAAATTTCTACTCAAAAGGCAGTCCTGAACATAAAAATGCATCTGGATAACTCCATAAGCTCATGAAAACATAACCAAGAAAGGAAAATTTGCATGGCATTGAGAACAAACAGACAAACAAGTAAAGCCTTCCTAAAGAAAAAAGTAACTACGAGCTGATCAAACAAACAAACTTCCAATATCTGCCAAAATTAAGCACAATTGAACCAAAATTCCATCTGGGTATCTCTAGAAATTCATGAATTTGAGAGAAAACAAAACAAAAAAATTGCCCAAGAAAGAAAAGGAAAAAGGGTCAGATAGAGGGAGATCGGTTGGACTAACCAATGGAGCTTGGACTCGGAAGCCTCTTTGGCTTTGAGGATTAGGAGTAGAAGAAGAGCGTTCACCACTTAGCTCCATAATAATAAGCTCATATAAAAACACACAAGATTCAGATCGCCAGCTTTTTTCTTCAATTTCTCTCACTCTGATCCTTCAAAGTTCAAACTGGAAAAAAAAAAAATTGTCTTTTTTTGTTTCAACAAATAAACAATAGCTCTGTAATGCAAAGAAAGAAGAAAAAAAGGTAAGGCTTTCTTTGTTGGAATAATAGCAAACAAACAACAAACGACATTTACACTAACAACAACCAAAAGGTCTCTCTCTCTTCAAAGTAGTCTTTCTCTCTCTCTACCTTCTCAAAGAGTACAGCTGGACGCTTCACCAACTTCAGATTTTCTTAAGTGGGTTTAGATTGAAAAACTGCAATAGTAAAATATACAGGCTCTTTCACTTCACAGAATAAATTTTTAATTTAAGTTAAAATATAATATTTTTTAAAAATTTTTTTATTGTAATAAAAAAAGTTAGATGTAACATTTTTTAAGAATTTTTTACTATAAAAATTTTAAATTAAAAACTCATATCGATAAAATAAATGAGGTAATATATATATAAATATTAGAATTATCTCTGATCCGGGTACATATATATTTTAAAAATATGTATATTTTTTTTTATTAAAATATATATAATATGAGAGAGACACTTATAATTTATTTAAATATTTATATACATGTTTTAAAAAAAATATACATATACCGTTTTAATCCAATATCATATTAGAGACTTTACTTATAAAATATTATGTAACAACATACTATAAATAAATATTTATTTTCACGTTAAAAAAAATATTTTCTTTGCAGTAAATATTTTTAGGCAGAGACTCAAGTCCTTTGTGATGCAAGAAAGAAAGAAAGAAATAAATAAATTTAAAAAACTTAAAGAGAGACGAATATTACATCTTCACTATTTATGACGTCATTATTTTTTTAAATTAATGTTATGTTATATTTTGGTTATATTACCTATAATCATCTATTATTTAGAGTTTTTTTAATAGGTCCTGAAAGATTGAATTATTAATTCTATTTTTAACTGTTAAATTTAGACAAAAAAATGATATGTTCTGTATACTTTATTCAATAGTTTAAAACCATCAACTAGTAAGTAGGCTTACCAAAAAAAAAAAAAAAAAAACACCTTATTTCTAGACCATGTACTTATGTTGTGTCATATTTGTTAATAGTCTATGACTCAGACTCGAGACATTGGAGGCAGGGGTATAAGTGTGAAATATTGTTAGATCAAAATCTAACTAAATCCTCTACTAGAAATATAAGAGAAAAAGAGAGAAATAGACCAAGACTTGAGATGAATTAAAATTAATAGGCCAATAATTTACATAAGTTAATAAATAAGCTAAATTATTGTTTTCGTCCATAACTTGTTTAGTTATGAACCATAACTTGACAAGTTATTGTCCATAATTCACGGTTTTTATTCATAATTTATCTGGTTATGAACCATAACTTGATAAGGTTGTCCATAACTTATCTGGTTATGAACCATAACTTGATAAGTTATGACCTATTAATTTCTATAACTAAAAATTGATCTATATACTTATTTAAACTTTTCATATCGGTATATTTTCTACTATTTCCTGAAATATAATTACTTACTATTTAGAGATATTATTTTTATATTAATATAGTTAATTTTTTTAATTGTAAAATTTCATGGACAGAGGCTTTTAGGGAATTCTTCGTACTATTTATGGGTCAAGCCCATTTGGAGGGTTACGGACAGAGTCAAGGACACGAGCGGCTATCAATTTTGGAGAAATAGTAGAAAATATGCGAATATGAAAAGTTTAAGAAAGTATATAGGTTAATTTTTAGTTATAGAAATTAATAAATCATAACTTGTTAAGTTATGATTTATAATCAGATTAGTTATGAATAAATTTATCAAATTATAATTTATAGTCAGATAAATTATGGACAAAAATCGTGATTTATAGACAATAACTTGTCAAGTTATGGTTTATAACCAGATAAATTATGGACGAAAACAGTAATTTAGCCTATTTATTAACTTATGTAAACTATTGACTTATTAATTTTAATTCATCTCAAATTTTGACATATTTTCCTCTTTCTCCCTAAATTTTGCTTCTTTCTAATACCCACTTTATTAAAAAAAAAAAAAAAGTAAAGTAATAACAATATAATAAAATCTTTCTTTTTTTTTTTGTAAGTACCATATAAAATCTCCTTTTAAAAATTTCAGATCTATTACTTCTCAATTAATTTTATTTATCTGAACTTTTTCTTTAAATGAACCTATAACTTATCAAATTCGTTATTTTCAGCTCTTGTTTATATATATATATATATATATATATTTTTTTTTTCCGTTAATGATTTGAAGATATTCATTCGTCTCACTTTCACTCTTAACATTCAATTTCAAAATCAATCTATCACGACGTTTCTAAAATATAGAATTTTATCCACCTATTAATAAACTCTCTATTTTCATCATGAGAATATTACATAAGAGGGTTTTAAGAGAGAAAAAAAAAGAGTGAACATGTATTATTGTGTTTCAAAGAAAAAGGGAATGCATATATTAGATAATTTTACCGTGAGGTGTGTTATTTTGTTCTATTTATAGAGCATTTTTTTAAAAAAAAAAAAAACTTTTTGATTAACTTTTAACGGTTTAGTGTTGGTAGTATTGATAAAGAGCCCATTTAGTTTATTAATTTAAATTTTTAATTTAAATTGAGATATAATTTTATGTAAAATTTTTTTATTATAATAAAAATATTAAATATAATTATTTTTAAAATTTTTTTACTATAATAAAATTTAAATTTTAAATTTGAATCGATAAAATGAAGAGAGGAAAGTTAACAATGATAATTTTCCTGGATTATTTAAATCTACTTTTCTAAAACGCTACGTCGTTTTTTCAGAATACCCTTCTTCTCCAGCACGAAACCTGTAGAGAGCGGGCAAGCTTCTATAAGTAAGCTTTCTCTAAACGTATTACCCATTTCTCCAATCTTCTTTCTTCTCAAACTCGTTTTGGTTTGTCGTTACTTTTTTTATGAATATTATTACTTTCTTAATTAATTTTGCCTTCTTCTCTGTAAAAACCCTAGACTAAACTCACTGACATCTCATATTTTCTTTTTAATTTTCTCCAGGCTTTTAACTTCTAATCCAATCCAATCCAATCCAAGCAAGGAAAGATGTTTCTTACCAGGTGAATAATAATTCTGTTTCCTCTTGCTTTTGTTGTTTGTTTGTATTTTCCATCAAATGTTTTAAAAGAACAATTTTTTTTTTTAAAGGACGGAGTATGACAGAGGAGTGAACACATTCTCTCCAGAAGGACGACTGTTTCAGGTCGAGTATGCCATTGAAGCCATTAAGGTATCTTCTTACTCTTTTTGTCTGAATTCAAACAACACTTGTAATTTTAGCAATTTTATGTCTTTTTTGTTTCTAATGTCAATTGTTCCTTTTTTCTGTTTCTGGGTTCTTACATTTTTATTGAAATATTCTATAATCTATAATAAATAAAATAAAATAATTTTGTCAGCTGGGTTCTACTGCAATTGGGCTGAAGACAAAGGAAGGCGTGGTGCTCGCAGTGGAGAAGCGAATCACTTCTCCCCTCCTCGTATGGAATTCGGAATTTCTTACCTTTGATTGTTGCTCTTCTACTTTTTCATATATATATGTGTGTGTGTGTGTGTGTATTGTTGATGATCTCTGTTATGTTGAAATTTCAGGAACCGAGCAGCGTTGAGAAAATCATGGAAATCGACGGCCACATCGGATGCGCCATGAGTGGATTAATCGCTGATGCTCGTACGCTCGTTGAACACGCTCGAGTCGAAACTCAGGTTGCTTTTATACTTTTCATTGGGAATTACAGTGTGGCAGGAAATCATGGCATTTGATAACTGATTTTTTTTTTCCATGTCCAATCTTTTGTTTTGCAGAATCATAGGTTCTCCTATGGTGAGCCGATGACTGTTGAGTCCACAACGCAGGCTCTTTGCGATCTGGCCCTACGATTCGGTGAGGGTGATGAAGAATCCATGGTATTAAACTAATCTATTCACTATTATTCCATCAAATTATTAATCAAGGTTAGCTAAAGTGTTGATCCAGTTTTTATGTCTGTTATTGAGTATTGTAGCAGTTCCACTGAGCTTTTGTTCCCTTTAGGCTTAGGTTCTACTGGGATTTATCTAGTAGAAAATCTGTTCCTGGTTTATTCAGCCATTTCACCAATCATTTAAACATATCTTTTGGCGCGTTTTTATACTTGTGGCTCACGAGTGTTGAATGAGTGGTGTATGTTCATTAAAAAGGAATTGAACATTTGATTTCGACTGAGCAAATATGTGTGAATTTTGGCGTCCTATTGCATCTCTTTGTTAAAATAACAGCACAAACAAACAGATAATGCCACTATGATCTTCTCACAATGCAATTTCTGAGTTTTATCTTTTGAGAATCCAGGTTGCCTCCAGCATCACCTATCTTTTCAGTGACAAATTTTAGTTCACCGTCATATTGTAGGAATCTTCAAGTGTTGAAAATTTTTATGAAGTGAAAAAAAAAAAAAAAAATCATGGCGACCAGATTTTCGATTAAGCAACTTCATATTTTTGTTTGTGTGTGCATCCAAATTTGGGTACATGCTATTTCTATGCTGTTTCTTTGCACTTGAATAGTGGCCACTTTTGCAGTGGAATGCATATCAAGTTCAAGTCCTTATACCCATCCCATGTACTACATTCCATTTAGCTATTTAAAGACATTTCATGGCCTTCAGCGTTCCGATGCTCTTTTGTTTAAGAAGATTTGAAATATATTTGCACTCTTGTCTACTCAACAAAAAAAAAAAAAGATATCTTGATTTCTAATATTCAATCTTGGAACCATTCAGATACACTTTCTAATCTATTGAATTTTCATACGCAGTCGAGACCATTTGGAGTCTCTCTTTTGATTGCTGGCCATGATGAGAACGGCCCCAGCTTGTAAGTGTTGGTATTCTTTTCATTTTTCTGTCTTCTCTAGCAGTGTTTGTATTGTGTGCAAAATTTTCGGCCGTCTGTGTACATATAACATCAGTTTGGAACTGGAAGCAGAATATGACTTGTAATATAATCGTAAAGAAATTCAAAATTTAGATGTGAGCTTTTACTAATGATGGGTGGTTTGAACTTTTGAACGTTTTCAAGTTTCAATCTAAACACTGTAGGCTAAGTAGTTCAGTCTGATCTAGGCCTGGATTATTGGCTTCAACTTGAGGTATGAACTCTTAAATCTCTTTAAGAACACAGGAAGAGAAAAGAAAAGACGAAACTATGTTCTTAAATAATCCAACTTTAAGTGAGGAAGATATGGGACGCTGCTTATTTTTAGGTTTTTGTTGGACTATATGGTTAGGAAGGAATAAGTGGATTTTCAAAGACGTGTAAAGAAATGTCAGTGATTTGTACATAGAAGTCTTTAGTTTCACTTTCATTGTGAGAAGATAAAGCTTTTGTCATTTCAGTTTTCAGATTTGGTTAGGTACTGGCAATATCCTACTGTAGATCATATATGTTTTTCTTTTGGTCTCTGGGTTTTTTCTTTTTGAAGTAAAATGCTTATGGGTTAAGGGTTAGTCTCTGTTTTTTCCTCCCTGAAGATGCTAAAACGTTCACTTGCAGATACCATACAGATCCATCCGGCACGTTTTGGCAATGCAACGCGAAAGCTATAGGTTCGGGGTCTGAAGGAGCAGACAGCTCTCTGCAAGAGCAATACAACAAGGTATCTTTGTTTCTTCATCCTTCATTCTTACCATGTCTGTGTACTGGGTTTTGCTAAAGGGAAAACCAAAAAAGTATCCCTTGTGTTTCATCGATATACTACAGATACTTCCAGGCTCCAAGTATTAACTAAAGACAAAAGTCTCTTTTTTTTTTTTTTAAGATCAAAGATATCGACTCTTTAATTGTTCAAATTTTGAAAATGCCGAAAGCACCTTCGATAATCTATATTCAAGCATTACCTTATTATATGAGTACGAGGTTGTTTGGTGGAGAAGATACATGGGGAAAGAGAGGAAAAATGAGGTATGAGTATGAGGTGTCCGTGGGCCCCACCCTTGTTAGCTCATCTGGAAGTGAACAGAGTTTTGGGGGAGGAAGATGAGACTCAAGGTGAATGAAAGGAATCTACTGTTTTGCCCTTCTTCTGAAGTCAGGCTGCAAGGGCCATGACCTCTTAAAAAAAAAAAAAAGTTAGTGGCAAGAGGATAATTATATTATACAAATAAAAGTCTTTCCCCTCACTTTTACCCCCAATTCCAAGCAAAGGAGAGTATTCTATTTTCTTTCCATCCCATTTCACCATACAACGTTACAGAAAAACAATTTCCTTTCTTTTTTCTTTCCATATAATTTTCTTTCACATTTTGTCTTTCCTTCCCGTATTCCATCTCTTCTACTTATGCATTAAGAAGAGATTCTCTTACACACACATTAATGATAACTAACACGCCCTTAATCTATAGCATTTAGCAGTGTTCAATTGAATGCAGACGCAATTATCACTTGTCTAGTTTGAAATTTTCTTTAAATCTTTGGACAGAATATGACATGTGGCAAAACCAAAAGTCTTTTGTAAAAGAAGATTATATAGGTCGATCTGGATCGAAATAAAGTCAGATAGAAAATGGGTGCAGAGAACCTTGAAACAAAACATATGCTGCAATAATGAACAAACGAAACTAAGCCATGCTACCAAAATGAATGGTTATTTTAACTAAACATTTATGGATGACTTTGACAAATGATTCCAATTTGGATTATATTCAAGTTCAACTTTTTTGCTATAGTGTTTCCTCTCACATAAAAAAATTTAAGTTGTGATTTGAGATGTGTAAAGAACGCACTAATTTCTCTCTTGCTATGTCATGCAGAAGCAAGATTCATAATTATAACTTTATTCTGCTTCGTGTAATAAATTGCGAAAATAAGTGATGAATATTTATTTTCGCAGGACCTAACTCTGAAGGAAGCTGAGACTATAGCTCTTTCTATTCTGAAACAAGTTATGGAAGAGAAGGTAAATCACTAGATCAAGCATTAACTCTATTGATCCCTTGCTTTTTTTTTTTTTTTTTTAAATTTGTTTCAATGGCCTTGAGTTATTGAGTTTGATTGGGTTTTTGTGTGGGTTACCTTACAGGTGACACCAAACAATGTTGATATTGCAAAAGTGGCTCCGACATATCATTTGTACACCCCTTCTGAGGTTGAAGCCGTCATCAGTCGCCTATAAGTCCCACCGGATTACCATGAGTGATTCACGCCGCTGAATTCCTATCAAAGCCATTCTCGTCTTTGTTTCTATTAACTGCTGGTAATTAAGATCTCCATTTGTTTGTGATGGCATTTAACAAGAAGTGATATGTTATGGCAGATTTTTAGAAGTGATCGACTTTTGGATAGTTGGAAAAAGCATAAATGAAAGAATGCAATTTGTCTTTTTACTTTTCTTGTTTGGAATGATGGGGGAAAAGAAAATGGGTGAATATTTGAATGATTGCTTAACCAATTTTTTAATAATTGGTTTGAAAATGAAAACAGAGATAATTTGACTCTATACAAGTAGTAACAATGTTTTCTCCATAAATCCTGGCAATTTCAGATGGATTTGAAAAGATGGGTTCTTTTTAGTTCTTGCACTATATACTATTTTCACTTCAAAATTCTCCAAGTATTTTCTTTCCTTCCACTGTTTTCCTCTACCAAACATGGTGAAAGTAAGGTCGTGTTTGAAATTGATTTCGTTTTTATTTTTTACATTTTTTGAGAAAAAAAATAAAAACGTTTTTAAAACGGTGTTTGGCGCAATAAAGATAAAAAACGGAAATGAAAACGATTTTTTAGTTTAGTGTAAAATGAGAAAGAAATGAAAAACGACTTTAGTCGTTTTTTATTTTTTGTTTTCGTTTTCTCATTTTTCGAGTAGAGAGAAAAAAAGAGACATTAATGAGTTTTTTTTACACAAAAAATAATTTCTTGATAAAATTATCAAACGCATTTTTAAAAATATTTTTTGTCTGAGATTGAAAATGTTTTCATTTTTATTTTCATAAATAAAATAAAATCATTTTAAAACGAGTTCTAAACACGCTTTAAGTTTTCATATCTTGAAGTTATGCATGGATTGCCTTTCAAGCTCTTGAAAAGCATGGGGTCTTTCATATCTTAGGGGTTTTTATTTTATTTTATTATTATTATTTTTTTAATTCGATTCACTTCTTTTTAAAAGCCTTTTGTAGTTTGCTTGGTTTGACTTAAAATAAATATGAGAATTCATGCCAATTATGAGCTTCTGGGGTGTTTTTCTTTTTGTTTGCGCAAACATATCAAGTAAATTCAACAGTAACGTATTTAGTACTGTATTTAATTTTACTTTAAACTAAGGATTAATTACAAAAACTCTTCTTAAACTATACTACTTATAATGCTTTGCTCTTAATCTTTAAAACGTAAAAGCTATTCACCTTGAATAATGAAATGTTAACAAAAAACTCATTCCGTTAGATTTTGTAATGAAAATTCAAATTTAATTTGTTATTTTGGAGTATTTTGTTAGTTTATGGTTTAAAATTTAATTTGAATTTAAAACTAATTTAAAATTGAACTTTTAATTATGATACATCCGTTATTGATTGAATGTAAGTTAAAAATTTTATGAATCTTTTTTCGTAGAATAAAAAGTTTTATGAAGATTTTTTTTAATATTTAAATTTGTTTAAATTCAAATTAAATTCTAAACCAAGAATTATCAAAATACTCTCAAAATAGCAAATTAAATGCTAATTTCAGTTAAAAACCTAAATTAAATGCTAATTTTAGTTAAAAACCTAACGGATGGGTTTTTTCGTTAATATTTCATTGTTTAAGGAGAACATATGTTACGTTTTAAAGATCATGAGGTAAAGTGTTACAAAAGGTATGATTCAGGGGAAATTTTTATGATTAATCCTTTAACTAGTGAGTGAGAAGCTAATATCTTTTAAATTCTTTATCTAGTAGTATTGAATATCAAAAACGGTCTTCTGGCTTCTCCTAGTTTAAGTAAAAATCAAGCAGCTAAACTATACCATAAACTCCCTTGTAACCTTTTGAAGCCAATACTACGTAGTTGTGATTCTAAATAGTTATATTGACTTAAAACAAATATGATACTAAGTATAACAACTACAAGAAAAATATATTTGAAGATCATCTTTCTACAAGGGCTTTCAAGAAAACCACCGTAAAAAGTAGACCATAGATTGTGGCGCAAAAAAAGAGTTGTTTTACCGAAGATTTAACGAAATCCTGATATTTTATTGTCGTTAGAGTGACTTTTTTGCCGGCTGTTTTCAAGAAATTAGTCATAAAATCCGTCGCAGCGGGCTATTTATGCCTTTTTTATAGCAGTTGAAAACGTCATAAATTCTCATGACGTTTCTTAACTCGCGATTTTACTACGATTTTCAAAATGGTCGTGAAATCTCTTCATGACCATGTTTAATTCTCGCTGCACCTTTTTCCGGTAGTGATCCTGCTCGGTTCAAGAAAAATAGGAAAACTATACAGTTACAATATGAATAAATGTAAAGATCTGTCAGACAATTAATGGTTGTACCTCACTGGCTTGCACGAGTGATGAAAAACTAAAGCAAAAATAATATAGAGGCGATTAAGGAAGGAACATATCTCACTTCTCGTTGTCGTATTGCTACAAGTTTGTAGCGAGACAACTATGTTAGAAATCAATAATTTGGTAAAAATTATCGCCTAAAAATTAAAAATATTTATGTTAGATTATTAAGAATTAATAAATTTGTAAGCGGAAATGTACTTGAATTTATAACGATTAATTTATCTCTAGAGTCGTGCAGTTCGTCTTCCAGATCAACACGTTTTCTTAGAGAATCCTTTAACTTTCTCTCTGTACTCTCTCTGATGATGAGATGCCAGAAGAAATAGAATGTAACATGCGATCTGGGAACTATAACTGCTATATATAGATAATTTCTCTGTTATCTTTTAGTATTTTTATTTTAGCCCATCATAAAAATAGAAATTACCCTTAAATTTTTACATATTAAAGGCCCACACCCTATTAGATACATTAAAGTCTAAAATACCTAAACCTTAATAGATCACTTTTAATTGGACTTAATCTTATATGATAACCCGTAACACATAATTATTCACATATAATCATAACACTAGATTAAGGATCCAACAAACCAGAGAATAAAGACGACATGCTTCTTTATAACTAAAGGCAAACTGGAGAATAAAGAATGACTTTTCCTCTTTAACGAACATCTAAAAACTTTTGAAGAATTAAAGAAAAAGAATTCGATACTTGTCTTCAACGTTGTGCAATATGTTAGGAAGATGCTACTTAAAGTGCGTGTATTGTTGCCTTATTGATAGTTGCTGGAAACTGTGTATTGTTGCCTCAGACAATTTCTCAAAGATAACCATCAAACCATGGAGGTCGTTTCTGGCGTAGCTGTGGAAGTGTTGAAGACGGTAGCTAGTTTTGCCGACGAAAAGATTAGCTTGGCATGGGGCATGAAAGACGACCTAGAGAAGCTTGAGGAGACCATGTCCACTCTCGAAGCTGTGCTCTTAGATGCCGAGGAGCAGCAGCAAGAAAACAAAGAAATAGAAGTCTGGTTGAGGCGGCTTAAGGATGTCTTCCTTGATGCTTGGGACGTGCTGGATGAATATGAGTGTGAACTGCTCAGAAGAGAAGTGGTGAAGAGACATGGACGCATTGATAGAAAGGTACGTCGTTTCTTCTCGCGCTCCAATCCACTTGCGTTCTGCTTGAGCATTGGTAATCAAATTAAGGCGATAAGGCAAAAGTTAGATGATGTTGCCAAAGATAAGAGTAATTTCCATCTAAAAGAACATCATCAGGATGCAAGGCAAGTGCGGAGGGAGATGGAATCTTCCTTTGTAAGGCCTTCGGAAGTTATTGGTAGAGAAAGTGACAGAGATAAGATCGTGAAGTTATTGATGCAAAAAGACAACAATAATAGTATCTCTGTTATACCGATAATAGGAGTTGGGGGTCTAGGAAAGACTGCGCTTGCCAAGTTAGTGTACAATGATGACAAAGTTACTGAGAAGTTTTATCCAAAACTGTGGGTGTGTGTGCAACAAGATTTTAATGTCACTGAACTGACAAGAAAACTTCTTATATCTTCTATCAGTGCAACTAATACCGTACATCAATCATTGAAACAAACAAGGGATATTAGTAATTTGTCTGTAGATCAGTTGCAATTGTTCTTGCGAAGCATTTTAAAGGACAAAAAGGTTTTGCTTGTACTGGATGACGTATGGAATGAAGATCGCGGTAAGTGGAATGAGGTGAGAGATTTGCTGTCGGCAGTTTGCGCTATGGGGAGCAAAGTCATAGTCACAACACGCAATACTCAAGTAGCATCAATCATGGGCACAACTCGGACACATCATTTGGAATGTCTCTCTGAGGAGGATTCTCTGTCTTTATTTTTCAAATATGCATTTGTAGATGAACAAGAGGCTGCACGATTTCCAAAACTAAGAGATATTGGCAAGCAAATTGTACAAAAGTGTGGAGGGCTTCCTTTGGCATTGAAGACTTTGGGGAGCGTGCTTTGCTCAAAAACAGATGATGGTGAATGGATATATGTGAGGGATAGCGAGATATGGAAGTTGAGACGAGAGCAAAATGATCCTATTTTATCTGCACTGAAATTAAGCTACAGTACAATGTCTCCGTCCTTAAAGCAATGTTTTGCTTATTGTTCTCTTGTTCCAAAGAACTTTAGAGCGAGTGACTTGTACATGATCAGGATATGGATGGCATTGGGCATCATTCACTCGAGTGGGAAAGTATTGGGAAATTGCATTTCAAAGAGCTTTGCGGCGGATCTTTCTTTCAATATCTTGACGATGCCGAGCAAAAGTTCAATTTATTTCAGCGTTTTGAAATGCACGATTTAGTTCATGATCTTGCAACTTCAATCATCCGACATGAGTTTTCTGAAATAGATTCCAACTCTACAACTGCCCCGAATGAGAGAGTGCGGCATTTGAGGATACTGTTGAAGGATGGCCATGATCAAAGCATCATAATGATCTTGCAGAAATTACAAAAAGTGCGGAGTATTTTTGTTGCTAAAGAAATGGGTGAAGAGCCTAATATTGAGGAGTCCTTCCTTTCCACATGCATCTCAAGACTCAAATACTCGCGACTGTTGCATTTATATGGTTTATGTTTTGAGGTGCTGCCAAGTTCAATTGGTGCTCTCAAGCATTTGAGGTATCTGAACTTAAGTGGAAACAAAAAGATCAAAAAACTGCCCAATTCAATTTGCAAGCTGCAAAGTTTGCAAACTCTGTACCTCCATAGGTGTTCAGAGCTTGAGGAGTTACCAAGAGATATAAGAAACTTGGTCAGTCTCAGAACTCTCTCTATAACCACAAAAGAGACCTGTCTTTCGGAGAATGGAATTGGATGCTTGAGATCTCTTCGATTTTTGTTGATTACTGAATGTAGAAATTTGAGATCTTTGCCGCAAGATATGAGATGTTGTACCACATTACGTAGTCTTTTTGTAGGTGAAAGTGAGCAACTTGAGTTGGCGAGTGGACCCGATGAAGTAATCAACTACCAGTTGAGTCTTCAAGCATTGATGATTTATAAATTGCCACAGACGACAGCTTTACCCGAGTGGCTACAAGGCGCTGCTGACACTCTGCAACATTTTTTTTTCAATTTTGCCAAACCTTGAGACGCTTGCCGGAGTGGTTGCCAAACCTCACAACACTTGAGACGCTCTCGATTATTGATTGTCCGAATTTGTCTTCTTTGCCTGAGGGGATGGAGCGGCTCACATCCCTAACACGTTTGGAAATTAAAGGTTGCGATGCATTGGAGAAGAGATGCAAACGTGACATTGGTGAGGATTGGCCAAAGATTTCTCATGTTCCACGTTGTTTTATTGGTTTCGAATCTAATGAGGACTAGGTACGTTTTATTTTCTATTGTTTCTAATCAGATAAACCTGTTCTTCATTATCTCAACCGCCCATAAAAAATAATAATAATAAACCTGTTGCTTTTGTCCACGACTTCCTTCAGTCCACTGCAGCAGTCCATCGTCGGAGTCTTGGCGTGGCCTCCGACGTAAGGCAAGCACGTCGCCAGTCCCACAAGCTTGCCCGCGCATTCTGCTCTGTCTTGCTCTAGGTTTGCCCCAACTATTACTATCAAAGCCAAACCCAACGATATTGTGTATCCAACTGCTAAACTTGAAGCCATTATAACTAGCTAGCTAGAATTAATTCCTTCTTTTGTTTCAGGACCTTAGATGGAAAGAAAGAGAGATCGGAAGGAATCTATAAATTAAAAGAACATTGTAGAATTGTGAAAATAATTTATCAACTTATTCAACATGCTGATTATATATATATATATATCATTATTTTGATTTAATTAGATTTGCTTATTTAAGAGACTAAGATAGAAATAAATCAGAATTTCAGAAATGACTAAAGCATATATTAGACAAGATCACTTTTGGGGGACGGGAATCAAAGGCCATGTATACATGCAAAATCCGCAATAAATGAAGAGTGTACTATATAGACAATAAGGTTGTAGAAAAGTGGTCAATGAGTATATTATATTACATATTGTCTATAGTCCCAATCAAAGTTTTAAACTTTGTTGTGTTGGGGAGGGTTTGTGACACATTGTAAGGGGAATATGAGACATGATCATGCAAAATGCAAAGGGAATAGCAAAAAACAACCCAAAATCATTATGAAAAGAAATCCAAATATCATAATTTGAAAAACCAATTGAAATGCCCTTTTGAGTTGCTCAGTCCAATATTTTGAGTAATATTCGAATCCGACCCATGACCCTAGAGAACCTCAACATTCCGTTATGATGGATGTTATGGATTACGTGCAAATTGGTCAGTTGGCTTGGTCCTAGTGGTCGCGCAATTGGTCTTGAGCTGGGTTGGAGCCTAGTTAGTTGACTTAATCGAACACTTAATGCTTAGGTGGGTCGACCAAACAATTTTCCTTAGATCCACTCGGACCGTGGGCTAGATTGGCCCATTCCATCATTTCAGTGGGTCAGACCATGCTATTAAATTGAGGCTTTTGAAATAAATAGTTTTTGTTCCTCTGTTTTTAACTGTTTATTTTTGGGAAATAGTAGAAAATAAGTGAATATGAAAAGCTTAAGAAAGTATATAGGTCAATTTTTAGTTATATAAATTAATAGGTCATAACTTGTTAAGTTATGGTTCATAACCAGATAAATTATGGATAAACTTGTAAAGTTATGATTTATAACCAGACAAATTATGGACAATTATGGATAATAACTTGTCAAGTTATGGTTCATAACCAGATAAGTTATGAACGAAAACAGTAATTTGGCCTATTTATTAACTTACATAAATTATTGGCCTATTAATTTTAATTCATCTCAAGTCTTGGCCTATTTCTCTCTTTCTCCCTTTATTTTTGGACAAAATGTAACATAGAGATTACTTGTAAAAGTGTTAAAAATGGATAAAATGGTGAATAGAGTGTGGACCATTTGATTTACGTGTTTAAACTTATAATTCTGATTTTGTTATAATATTTTCTTTCATACAAAATTTAAATTAAAAAAAGTTTTCATTAATGAGTTATTTCACAAAATTTAAATTTAAAATTATTGACTTAAACACACGAACTAAATGAGCTTTATACGTATAAAATAGATTGAGAGTAAAAATAAGAGAGAGAATAAAAATAAAGTCATGATTAAAGTGTAGCAAGAAGTTTCCTTTTGGCATTGAGGGCATCAAACCATCAAATACGGGGAAATAAATCACATCAAACATAAAGGGCCACATCACGTGGATTAATGTAAAACGATAGTAAATAAGTAGCCAAACCATCTCTAATACTCCCATATTCTTAGTATGATTCCATCTCTTTCCCTTTCCACCGTCACTTCTCACTAGAGCTGACAATTTAGGCCGGGCTAGACGGGCCGACCTGAAGCTTGTTACTGTGGGCCTGGCCGGGCCCGGCTCGAATCTGTACAAGCCCGAGCCTGACCCGGCCCTAGTGTAGGGCCGGGTTGGACCGTAATTCCAGGCCCGCAGGCGGCCCGAGCCCGGCCCAGAGAACCCGAATAGCCCGGTCCGAGCCCGGCCCGAAATGGCCCAAAAGCTTTTTTTTTTTTTTTTTTTTTTTTTTGCCCAACGGTAATATGAAGTAAATATGAATTCAAGACTCACTGCCTCACAGCAGTGAGTCTTGAGGCCTCAGGTAGATTTTTTTTTTAAATTATCCGGTCTTGGAAATGTTCTTTCTCATATCAGTGGCCAGTTGAACATAAATTATACTTCACAGGTTGTTAACACACGCGAGAAGTTGTTTGAGATTTATGCAATTTACGAGAATAAGTTCGGTAACTTGACAACTCAACAAACGCAACAAGATCAACCGGCCTGCTCAAAAAAGAAGTTTTGAAATTTTATATCTTCTCATCGTGGTGGCTCTAGTTCATAATCAACTGTGACTCCGAGTGTCATGCCACCACCATTAACACCAACGGCGACACAATATAGGGAGCTCAACAGATACCTTGAGACAGAATTCTCGGTGATAGATGGTGCTGATAATAATGACAATTTCTAAATTTTGGCATGGTGGAGGCTACAAGGTGTAAGATTTCCAATACTTTCAATATTAGCACGTGATATCTTGACTATTCCAGTATCAACGGTGTCTTCAGAATCTGCCTTTAGCACAGTTAGGAGGATAATTGAAGAAAGAAGGACTTCGTTGACTCCAGAAATGGTTGAGGTGCTAATATGTCTAAAAGATTCAGAAAATGCTTTTTTGCGAATGCAACACACAGCCGAAAACAGAGATTTAATGGATCAATTTCAAAATTTATGCATTGACGATGACGCTTATAATGCGGGAAGTAGTGTAGCAGGCAGTTAGATATTTTTGTTTTTTAAGTATATATAAATTATAACTATGAAAATAATACTGCACTCTTTTTTTCTTACCAAGATTTTATCCCAATGGGTTTTTCTTGGTAAGGTTTTTAATGAGGTAGTTATAATTACATAAATAAAGTCTTATTTCATTAAAATTTTACAATATTCACTATTTATTATAAATTTCGTTATATATATTTTTTAATTTTTTTATAAATTATGCTCGGACCGGCCCGGCCTGAAATAGCCCGCCCGGCCCTAGACCCGTCGGACCTTAGGGCTGGGCATATATAAAATTATTTAGGGCTGGCCCGGCCCGAACTACCCTTTCGGGCTGCCGGGCCCGGGCCGGGCGGCCCAAATTTTCAGCTCTACTTCTCACTTTAGCATTTGTAGACTTGTAGAATTTCCTTCAGCAAAAATTCTATAGATAATCATAAAAGAAAAACAAAAGCATGGAGAAAAAATGAGCATAGCAGACTCAAATAATTCTTATATGTGTGTGTGTGTATATATATATATATATATATATTTAAATATTTGCACACACACCAGAGAGTTTTGTGATTAGGTAAAATATATATATATATATATTCGTGGTATAAAAATATATACGCATATATTATGTGTGTGTGTATTACCACCAGTGCGGGCAGCTGGAGAAGCAGAAGTGCTAGTTCCATTTCTGAGGCTTTTTGCAAAGTCTTCAAACACGTTGCATCTGAGGAGTTGGGTGCTAAACGCAGAAGATCTGTATCCATTAACGCATTAACTTAGTCACTATGCACTTTTAGTTGCAGCAGTCTCTTTTTTTTTTTTTTTTTTTTTTTTTTGGGGAGAATACGATGTAAAACATATAAAATGAGTTTTTTATTAAATAAGGTCAATAACCGTTTATTTAAATTACTACAGTTTAAATCTTTTTGTTATTGTTTTATTTAAATGAAACCCTATTATTGAAACCAAATGGTTCAGGTCTTTACGTATGTTTCGTTTATTTCACCGATTAGAGTTTTTAATTTTAAGTTTCTAAAGTAAAAAACTCTAAAAAAATATCACATTTAACTTTTTCTACTACAGTAAAAAATTCTAAAAAGTGTCACATCTCAACTCGAATTGAAAACTCGAATCCGCAAAGTAAATGGGGCCGTAAATTATGTGAAGTGTGTGGGGCCTAAGAGATGAAGTTGCCAAAAGATTTTAGGAATGTTGTACTTAAGGCATCGATTTAATTTAACGGCAGAATTGAAATAGATTCTTTCAAACTTATAAGCTACTAGTAGGGCACATCTGCCAATTTGATCGTGACCATTATTGGAAAAAAAAATAGATGTGATATATAAACTTTACAGTTTATAATGAGAAATTAGATGTGAAATTATTGCTAGGTTATGCTCGTAAAATGTTGCCACATAACACATATAACTCTATATAAATTCATAGCCATAATTATGCGCACATGGAATATCACAACTCTTAAAAAGGAAAATTGCATCCTATATATTTCTTTTTTTTAACTGATATATAAGTACGGGAAAAGCCATTTCCTGTCTTGAACGCACTTTGAACAATGGGTAACTAGA